TGAAAAGGTCTCAGAAAAACACCAAACACGGAAATTAGATTTCATTTGGCATTTATTTCTCGTATAAAAATGGAAGCAAGTGGTAATGGAAATGGATTCTTAGTGAGTAGTATGTCATACTTAGTCTTTCCATTTAGACTTGTATGTCATGGTTTTGTTTTCTGTAATAATTGTGATCTTGTAGTTCCCTGGAGGTGACATGGACGCGTGTGGCGCAGTGGTCGGAGGCGCCCTGCAACACACACGTGGAATCGATCGCCGCGCCCATGGTTCACCAAGCCTTCCATCCCTCCGGGGTGGGCAAATTCGTAACACACTTGTTTGTGAGAATAGCAACGCTAGCTCAAAACATCAGTAGGCCACCGCAACTCATTGTAAAGGGCATATATTCATTCCATCACCACCAAACAATGCTTCTTGAAGTCGGATGCATGACGCATCCCTCAGGGATTGATCAACGCCGAGAGCTTTATCCTTTTTTATCACAAAATTCGCCTTCTAAAAGGCGCTTCCACTCATTTAAAGTTCTCAGATTCAACTTTTCAGGACGACTTAGCTAACAAGAGCTTTATTCTTTTTATTAAGGTGACAATTCACCAAAGATCGGCTGTGGCATTTCATAGAAGTGATAGGCATCAAAGTTTGGATATTTGGGTACTTGGATGGCCCGTTTTCGCTGGTTGTGCGGGCGCCAGCATTATTTCCCTTTTTCCGGAGTTTTCCTGGTCTAGCCATTGTAGTTCCCTGGAGTCCTAGGTCTTCGCTACCACAGACACTTACTGCTCCTGGATCAGAGGGACATTTGCCACCATGCGACTAGTTTGAGACGAGGAGAGTGGTGGATCCTGGCATTGGTTCATTCTTGGGTGGGCTTCCCAATGGAAACGCTGGCCTCCTTCTCAGTTTGGGACGCCCTACCGTGGAGATGATTCCTCCCGCTGTACATCGCAGGCCGACATCTAGGAACGCCTCCCAGCCACGGTGAGGCTTTAAATCGTTAGATGAAAAGTTTAGATTCCTTATTTTATAAGAAGAGAATACATCAAAACTGCAATATGTTTACAATGTTGTAATACACTAAGGCAGAGATGTCATGTTTAGCGACACACCGAAGAATACGCGAGTCGTTTCCAAACGTGACAGGAGAAAGGAGTAAAAAAATTTTCGTGTTTCGTTGAGTATTTTAAAACAGATAAACATCTGTTTAATCCGCCAATATGTGCAATTTATGTATGTACAATTTTCAAACCGACCATCGTTTAACCTTAGTATCAAAGTGATCAACAATGAATATTGATTACATATGTACACTTTATGTATTTCACTAATTGTACAATTATATCGTGGGAAGAATAACGCATACCCAAACTTTTGAGAATATTACAAACTTGGTAGAATGCTGATTGAGAGAGTGGAAAAGCATGGACCCCAGTGGTGCAACGAGTAACACGTGAGCTCCGGAAAGAGTAAGCTAGAGACCGAATCTGGTTTGGAGTCCAAGCTCTGCAATTACCTCAGCATCATAGTGATTACAAACTTTCTTGTAGCTCTGTTTTTTGGCATCCATTTTTGAAACTTGGCAGTATAATTCTAGCTTATCATTGCTGTTTACTCTTTTTAATGGCAAGGTATATCGCGAAATATAACTTCAACGATGCTGAGATATTTGCAAAACTTCGGACCGCAGGTGTCTGCGGTGGGGTACGAACGCGCTATTGCTCTTTCCGGGGAGTAACGCGTTCACCACCACACTATGCGTGTTCGTCGTTCCGCTTGTCTCTCAGTGAGTTCTATCGACCTCTACCACAGCAATCACCCTTTAGCGGGGTTGCCAGTATAATTTTTCTTAGTTTCTCTTTTCTGTATCTTCAATTGCTAATACCTGTTAAAGCAAATGCAAATAAGTGCATTCGAGCCGTTATAGAAAATCCATGGTAAACTCGTCCAAAAGAAGGTGATCGGACTCGGGCTAAATAAGGGCTCCAAGTATTGCCATAGAATAAAATCCAGCGCGCAAAAGACACAGTAGACGAACACCTAGAATTTCTATAAAGTTGGTGAGAATAAATTGGCCTCAAACAAACAGTTGGAAGCTGAAAATGAAGGGCAAAAAAGAGGAAGAGAAGAAAGAATACCACGTACATTGATAGTGATGAAATTATCTATCTTTTTCGTAACACCCTGAAAGAATTTCGTTTTAAAAATTTCAAGCTTGAGGGTTTTCTTGCAACCGAATATGACTCGAACTTGCCAGAATATTTTTAAAAAGTTAACAAACTAGTAATTGCCAAGGCGTTATTCAAACCTTGGTCTTCAGAGTGTAAAAAATAATCGAATAGCACACAAACGAGCATAGAATAAACGGAACAGCTGAGTAATTGTCTAAATTTGTATGTGATTAGTGAAACTGAAAACGTAATGAAGTATGGGAATAAACTCTGTCGAACTTTTAATGCACAACAAAAATTTGCTAACAATTTTTGTTTGACTGCCTTCCCTTACGGTCATCAGTCTATGCTTCATATGATCAACACATCTATGAAAATTGTTTTGTATATAACCATAGTGATGCTGAGATATTTGCAGAATTCCGAACCGCAGGTTTCTGCGATGAGGAACGAACGCACTATTACCCTTCCCGGAAGCTAGCGCATTCGTCACCATACCATGCGGGTCCTTCGTTTCGCCTCTCTCTGCCACCTGCGATCCGGAGTTTTGCAAGTATCTCAGCATCATTATGGTTGTATCTCATATAATAGCCGGTCTTGAAAAACTATAATAAGCAGCAAATAAAAAGTCAACATTGTGATTTCAACTACATCCTGAGCTTAACTGGGTTCAATGGCTATTTGGGCTTACCAGATCAATCTTGTTGATGGGTGAATATTAATGGCATTGGTAGATAGAAAACGGGCATAGAGACAGTCAAAACCAAGGACTTGCATTGTGTGGTGGTGATGAACGCGTTAGCCCTCGGAAAGGTTAATAACGCGTTCGAACCCCAGCGCAGGCACCTGCGCTCTGGAATATTTTGCAAATATCTCAGCATCATTATGGTTCAATATTATTTCACATAATACCCGACCGTAAAAAATTGTAGTAGTAAGCAAATAAATGTAAACATTGTGTTTTATATATAATATGCAGTAGCTTAGATGTACAGCTCCTTTATACCAATTTGATTGAAAACATGGCCCAGTGGCAGCAAATTGTCGTAGTTCCATGAAAACTTCTTTCGATAAAATTTGTGTCGGGACCAACTAGTCCATTGTGATATGGTTAAGATTGGAAAAGCAGTGTGGATAGAAGCAAAAGTGATCTGAAAATATTTAAAATGGATGATGGATGTAATTGGAGTTGCCCCGTTTGGTGGGTCGTGATTGAAACCCTGTCACTACTATTTTCGAGCAGAAAAAGAATTTCTTGACCAACCGTTTTGCTTTTTCTTGTGAATAAAGTCGATTCATGATGAGGAAATACAACACTGAAAAGTCGATGCACAGCAAGCAGGATGCCATAAATGCTCGAAGAAATCCATGCGCCAGTCATTATGGAGCCAAGAAACTGCAGTAGTTACAGATGTAAAGCGTTTAAGACATATTGGGTGAAAAACTCTGCTAAGAAACTCCTCTTTTTCGAAAGATCTCGATTTGATAGAAGGTTAAGAGGGCATAACTGAGCATTTCGTATAATGGATAAAGGATAAAGCGTTTGACGTCGATCTACCTCTTAGTGTTGACGCATACATTCGGTTCCAATAGGCAATGTAGACGGGATAAATTCATCTTTGGTTTATAAAGTCACTTGTCTATGGCTACCGATTTATAAAAGTGGTGTTCTTACTATCCCAGAAACCAATTTAACGACCTCGGAAGAATGAACATTTGCCCAATATGTAGGAGCAAAATAAAAATCCATTGTGTATTGCGAGACACCTCTAACAGCTGCGTTTCCGCTGAACCTAAGTAAAATATCAGAGCTGAATCTGTTTCCGATGAATATTTTTTCCTTTAATTTTATAGAAATAAAATTCCTTCTGGCGATCACTGTTCAAGTTGGTAGGTTTTCGTTCTATAAGGCAGTTTTTTTTATTAGCACGATTCCACATGCGGTATTTTGCGCACTATTCACCTCTTCTATTTTACTCGTTTCCTCGCAGCCATCTTTCATAATATCGTCAGACTTACATATAAGCTTGGCTGATAATTTAGGGTTCTGCTGTTTTTTATGGAAGTCATCAAATACCGATTGATTAGATTCTCCGTGGAGCCCCAGCACTTTATCATGTCTTTGTCACATGTATTCACTCACATTTGTAGACCAGAGAAAGCTGTCTCCAAGTAGGCCTGCTACAAATATGTCCATCTAGAAGACAAAACAGCATTAGTTGACCTGGGTCGAGGTAGAACCAGCGGCCTTGTGTAGTATTGAGAATTACTGCTGGTCACTACGCTTGCGGCATTTGGCCACATCACCGACCTTGAAAGCAATCCACTGCGCTCGTCCGGCTGATGCTTAATATTGTAAGGACGATACGGTCATAAACCAACACACTGGATCAACCTCAATCCTCGCCTTCTTAATCAATAGTAGTTAACGTCGGCCTTTTTCTTATCCAGAGAATCATTTGAGAGTAAACTTTTGCCAAAGATCTCTATAGTATCGAATCTAGTTGTAATTGACGATACTTCTTCTGATCCACATAAAAACTTTAGTGTTCGAAGTAGCAACTTGGAACGAACCAGACAAAACTTACTCGGCCTGCATGGAGAACATCCTGTCTATCCTGGAAAATTTCAGTAAAATGGAAACGCCTGATTGAGAAGCATCTCATTGACCAAATTTGTGTGGTTTGGCCGATTCTTATATATTAAGCCAAAAAGCGATGACGCAAAAAAATGTGCTCATCATCATTAACATTACCGTCCACTTTGTTCAAAGCAAAACACGTATTATCTGCTCGCTCTATAACATCTGCTAGAAAAAAGAGGAAAAAAACGTTATAGTTTATTTACTCCATTTAATAAGCACGGCATCTCCCATTCCAACATCAGCGACACACCACTGAATGCATGCCCTACGAGCTGTGCAGTATCGCAAAGTGATATGAAGAACATGATCTGGTACGACGTCCACTTTGAGAAGTTCTCATGAAGTCGGATTGCCTTTAACAAATCGCTAATTATGGTTGATCGCATGACACAGGAAGAATAGAAAGAATAAGTAGAGCTTACTATGGAAGCAACAAAACTGAGTGTCAAAAATGATGTGGCAAGCATGGTGTTGGCGAAACCGTACCAAAATGGTGGGTAGGTATAGTCAATTTTATCGTCGAATTGATCACCGTCCATCTAAAACTTTTTCACAGACTTTTTGAAAATCGTTTGTTCTAAGCATTCGATTCATCTGCAGCATTCACTGCTTTTTCGGTAGCTCATTTACTAGAAAACAAGCTCAATGAAAAGAATATCACGTTTTCCAACTCGATGGAAAAGAATATCATGCTCAGGCAATAGATTACTAGAAAAGTGGAGATTAAGGACCTACACTTTTTTCGTGGTTCATTAAAAGCGGTCATTCAAGTAAGTAAATTTGTATATGTGTCTCCTCTCTGATGTTTCTAAGGAGCTCAAATAGTTCATTTACTAACGATGCCGAGATATGATCTTAACCTGGCTCAATGTTGGTTTGCCCTTTCAGATCGTTAGGGTAAAAAACTGGCTAAAAGAAGAACAGATCAAACGTATCGACTAGTGCACTGAATAACACCTCAGCCCCCGAAAAGGGTCGTCGTGAGTTCGAAGCGCGCCGGATGGTCTGAGTTTTGCTCATATCTTGGAATGATTATGGTTGTACTTCACACAATACCACGCCAGGAAGAAAATAGTAGGCGGCAAATAGAAGTTAAATATTGTGGCTTTATTTACTGGTTCGTTCGGCTGAAATTATCTCTTGAAATATTCGGATATGACGGCCTCATTAAAGAATAAAAGAGCAAAGCTCTCAGCGTTGATTGATCCTTCGAGGCTATGTCATTCATTCAAGTTTATTATGTATCTACTCAATGTTGCTACCCTCCAAGGCAAGAATGGCACCACTCTCCCGTTCCAGAGAGATGAAAGCCTTAGTGAGCTCGGGGCGCCGGCTCGACTCCATGTGTAGAAAAATGAAATAATTCGTCCGCATCGGTGCTTTAAAATGCATTTTCGTTTTAAAGTCAATTATTTGTTATTTTATTTATTTATGTGATCTTATAAACTGATCTTCTTAAGCTGACGCGAGGTTGGTACAGATCTTCGTTGTCGTTGTTATTGATGTTATTCATCGCGACTTCGCCTTCCTCAGAGCCTGGACGTACTTTATGTTAGAATACTTTTTATTATTCGGTGGAAAAGAAGGTTAAAGTATTAATGAAGATCAAACTTCCAAATAGACGCCATATTGAACAGAAAGGCCGCTCACCGTGATGTTACGTGCGGGACTGGCCCACACGTAGTTCACGTGGAGTCGCGAGCAAGACGCGCCCCGGGGTCAAAATATCATTTTGAAATAGGGCGCCAGGTCACGCGTGTTAGTGAGGCATTCGTCCTTCCGGTTCATCTTTGGATTTTTGAAATTTATCCAAAACGCCTCAAGAACGCCAAGCGCGTTGATGTTTTTGATTCCTGCGCCACTTCAAAATCATCGCCGTTGTGCTTTTGTGCCCTATGCGTACCTAGAGGGGTGTTTAAACGGATTTTGGCTTTCCCATCCAGATGTTCTTTTATGCGAACACTAAGTGGTCTACCCGTTTCTCCGATATATTCCTCGCCGCATGCATTACATGAGATCAAGTATATTATACCTAAACTCATGCAATCCCCGTCTCTCCCGTTAGGACAGATCAAACAGTTTTCTGAGCTGCACAAACGATCATAGAGACGGTTTCGAACTAACTGGCGGCGTAGGGTATTGGGTGGGATGTCAATAATCGTCACATAATTTTCAAGACCACTTTTCTTAAGCACTTTTTAATGGCGTGACTTACTTCATTTGATATGAAGGGCAGCTTAAAGGAGATCTTACTTTCGTCTGAAATATTATTTTGGGAAACTACCCAACGTTTTGCTCTAAGCCGAGTGACTTCTACTTCGTAGCCATTGGAAATGACAATTTTTCGTGCCAGGTTTCGCAATTCCTTCCTTTCCTCTTCTCCTGTACACACATTTTTAGCCGTACGGTACCTGTTTTTGATAAGTGCTTTTTTATGTGTGAAGGATGAGAGGAGAGGCAGTGGACTAGAATGTGTTTACTACTTGGCTTGCGATACCATTTTGTTAAATAGCCACTTACCGAGAGCTTTATTTGGATGTTTAAGAATGGAAGCCAGTTCTCGGTAGGTTTTTCTCGTGTAAATTTTATACACTGACTGTCGGTTTAATAATTCAAAGCACTCATCCATCTGTTCTTGTGTGGAACAGACGATGAAGCAGTCGTCTATGTATCGACAGTAGAGTAAGGGTCGGTGATCGAGAACTGGAGCTTCCACCTTAGACATGAAAGCGATGGCAAGGCTTGGTGCTAAACGCTGCCCCATCGCCAACCCTCTAATTTGTGCAAAATATTTTCCAGACCACCTAAAGATTGAACAACTAAGACACTGTTTTAAGAGAGTCATTAGTTGCGCAATCGACAAGCCGTGCATTTTTATTTTCNGCAGTGGACTAGAATGTGTTTACTACTTGGCTTGCGATACCATTTTGTTAAATAGCCACTTACCGAGAGCTTTATTTGGATGTTTAAGAATGGAAGCCAGTTCTCGGTAGGTTTTTCTCGTGTAAATTTTATACACTGACTGTCGGTTTAATAATTCAAAGCACTCATCCATCTGTTCTTGTGTGGAACAGACGATGAAGCAGTCGTCTATGTATCGACAGTAGAGTAAGGGTCGGTGATCGAGAACTGGAGCTTCCACCTTAGACATGAAAGCGATGGCAAGGCTTGGTGCTAAACGCTGCCCCATCGCCAACCCTCTAATTTGTGCAAAATATTTTCCAGACCACCTAAAGATTGAACAACTAAGACACTGTTTTAAGAGAGTCATTAGTTGCGCAATCGACAAGCCGTGCATTTTTATTTTCTTTTCATGATCTGTGAGCTACTCGAGAATGGCTTGCATTGCGTAGTCATTGGACACGTTGGTATAAAGTGAACTAACATCGAATGACTCCATTATATGCGTGCTGTTTGGTTGCGCGCGCCTTAGGTGATCTAGAAATATTTTGGTGTTAGGTAGATGGGTTGGAATGAATTTTAGCAGCTGGGTTAGGATAAGATTTAACAACCACGTTATTCTATCCGTTGGCCCGCCTATACAACTGATGATAGGCATAACTTTATATGATGATGGGTTCGTTGATGTAATATCATCAGCTGAAGTAAGCTTATGTGTTTTAATAAGCAAGTAAAGGACAGGGCAAATCGGGTGTTCGTCCTTAAGTCGAGAAATAACTGAAAGCTCTAAACCCGCGGCCTTTGCCGTGCTGATCTATTCTTGATTCAGTTTTCGGTATTGATTTCTGTATTCCTTTTCAGAGGATGTTCGATAGAGAGAAACATCACTGAGGTGCTCCTCTGTTATCCTAATATCCAACTGACTAGGAAGAACTACAAATTCTCCGCCTTTATCACTAATAGAAAGTCTAATTGTTTTTGAATTCAAAACTCTCTAACCTGGCGCATACCACATTTTTGTTGGTTTGTGAGGTTGGAGCTTCTTTTTCGTTTTTGGTAGTGATTAAGTATGCGGAGAATTTCGTCCGAAAATAACCGAAATGTAGGGTCAATATCGCTATTTGGTAGCTCTTGTTTAAAGAAAGTTCGGGGAAAGGGTATTGGTGGTAGTTCCCCCCTTGATACTACGTTACCTAACCTTTCTAGTCTAACTCTGTAACGTGGCTGATCTTGAAGTTCATGTAGACTACATGTGATACTGCGCAGGATTGGTTTAGAAATTGGTCGACCCTGGTTAGGGTGCAATGGATTAAAACACAAAAAGACCATTTTAATAAAAACATCAGATATCAATGAGAAAAGCCATCTCCTTAGAAGGAGCAACATTCATGCATTGTTTTTTTTCTCTGCATGTGTTGAGACAAGCGAAAACCATAAAAAGCCAGTACAAAGATGAACTTCCAATCAATTTCTTTTCTGAAATTTTAACTTTTAGGATTGCGCTTAGAATCTTTTCAGTGAAAAAATTGAAAAAGTTTGAATTGAAGTTGTGGGAGATGGAAGAGATCTTCCAAATGACGCAACAGCTAAGTCGAGGAGATTTGATACAATCCAGTGAAGGTGGCCTGCACGGCATGTTGCACATTGTTGTTGGGACGATTCTCGGATTCAGGCTAAGCAGTCTATCTTTACATCGGATTTCGCTAGTTGGCACGATGCTTGTGCAGAAAGATAAAGCACACAAACTCCGCGATGACGAGCTTGTTTTTTTAAAGTTAAAAAATGGTCGTCGTAAACTCTTTAATGCTTCCAGCACCAAAATTGGCTACTCTACAACTACAATTTCAACAGAGGCGTGAAAAAGGCCTTATGGCAATGCCTTCTCACCAAAATTATTTTCGTCTAGCGACTTCTGCTTTATTCGTGCGCGATTAAAAGGAAGTGGGAGTCGGTAGCTAAATCAGTTTTTCTTTGACGGTGATGTCTTTCTTATATAGCACTACCATGCATACCATAGGTGGAACGAATGTTAGACGATCAGAGCACGTGTAAAAGCCTTCACTGAACCTAAAGGATATGATAGACGGCAGCGACATCATCTCTGTTTGCTAACCATATTGCCTTGCAACATTAAACAGCTAAGTGAAAATTTGCTCCACACTTGAATCCAAACACAATGATATTAATGAAGAACTCCATATTCGCACTCAACGCAGCGAACGTCGCCTGTTTTATCTATCTGAAGCGAAATGAACTGGAAAAGTCACTCAGTTCAGGAGTTGTGCAAGAGAAAGTGAATGACACGGAAGGTTAATGCAAGCAGTGAAGATTTGCGGAGACTTCAAAGAACATAGTGGTCGGTGCTAATCCCTTTGATTCCTCTCTTCTTTAAGCATTCAAGAATTTGAACGCTTCGAAACTATGATCATGGAAGGATAGCTATAAGAGTTCTTAAGTTCACTAACCGTTCAACGTGGTGAACACTTCTTAAATGTGAATGCGAGAAGCAGATTTTTCCCTTTATAACGTGAAACGATGATTATTAATGCGTAAAATGCTGTAGCATACGCTCTAAGAAAGATGATGGAATCACTAAGCACATGGGGAAGATACCCAATAGCTGTCCGGTAAAAGATAA